ACCACTGCACCATGTGACGGTCTATATTTTCCTGACTGAAAACTTGTTAACACTGTTTATAATTCTTGAGCTTTTGATATGACAAATAGGGAGTTCAAAGGCGAAAGCCAATTTTCTTTCCTGAATATACTGACTGACTGACTCTCCTGCCGACGGGATAAAACGCCGCAGACCAGCTCTAGAATTGAGGGAACTGCGAATCAAAGGATTACAGAATCTAGTGATTTACTAGGACCGGATAGTCGAACGAGCTCGTTTCAAGCTCGCTAATTCTAAAAAACGAACTCCAAGCGAGTTCGCGTTGTCGCGTTTAGCTCGAAAAATCTAATTTCATTTTTCATCCGGACAGGGGTTACCACCTCTCCTGCCAAAACCCCCCATTTTTTCGAAACATAGCGAAGTAGTGCTTTTTTGAAGACTGATTGTTTGGTAGAATGTATATATTAATATTAAAAATGGATTTAAAAATATTAGGTACAAAAATGATATAAAGTTCTCTTTGGCCGGTGTTTAGAATTCTTGATTACCATAACGCATCGTTGTAGAGTTCATAGACAGTGCTGGTATTCCGTACGGCCCTGGCGCGTCGTCGTCATCCTGGTTTCGGGGAATATCTAAAAGAAGGAAATTTGGAAATTAGTACGTAGGTAACTATACGTAACGTAATAGCGAGTGACAAGATTAAGTGGCCAAAACTCACACTCACTTTTCCGATATGACGGTACTCCATCAATAGCTGAGTATTTTGCTATCTTATTTCCTAAAATAGGCATGGAAAATTGACTTATTTTCTTACTTAAATTTGCAAAAAGTCCCATGTGGACATACACACCGCTGCCCATTGCCGTTACCTTTATCCGATTGGTTTTCCTGCCCAGAAGCGTACGTCCACCACTTTGTGGTTCGGGGGCAGCACGCTTCTAAATTATGAGGAATTTTGTCAGATGTTTTATCGGGATGTTGGTGTATATTGGCCAAGACCACAAAGCATCTTTTAGACTCTGCTCTTGCTCCATCCCTGGGTTACTTGTTGACTGTTCGGTTACTTCTTTGGATGTCGAACTGCTCAAACTACTACTTTCCTCCCATGCTGATGTGCTACAGTCTGAAGCTTTAGATAAAGAACTGCAAGAAGGGTCAGCACAGTCTGACAATCTCGTAATTTCCCATGTTTCCTGCTCAGTTTTACGTAAATCTTCAAGGTAACCGCGCAAAGCACGTCGTCGTAATGTCCTCTTTGATGGGGCTTCCATATGCTGAAGGAAACAGCAAAAAAAACAACAGA